GTAGATGGTGATATCACATGCATGCTTAGTGACACTGAACTCCAAAATACTCTTCTTAGAGGCCACCATATCGAACGGCAAGAAGCCTCTTCCATTAGATTGGGAACTTGTGGATTAAGCCCTACACTATCACCACACTCAGTGGTAGCATTTTCAAAAACTCCCATAAGACGAAAACTCATTGCCACAGTCCCTGATCCACTTGGAAAGGAGTGCTTCTTACAGGAGTTTAACATGGAAGCTGTAAGGCTAAGGCACAAGCATACAATCTGTTGTCAGTGATCATCCATCTTCCTGCCAAAGAAAACATGAAAACAAGACCTCATCGTCAAGCTGCTGGTGTAATTTGTACAACCACTCATGATGCATTTTAGTAACTGTTCATTATTGTTTATAGGTTATAAGGTTTGTCTCTCTCTTTTTCCTTTTTCAGATTATCCACAGGCCATATTAGTTAATATTCCATTTTTTTTCCTTTTAAATACTGTCTATCAGAACAAAACACATTTGTTTTACTGGTATTTCGACCCCTTTTAACAGCCTACACTCCCTTGACTTTTGGTCTCCAGAATCACCATTCACTCACTGATTATGCAGGAATTAATTACGCTGGGTTTTTAGGTAGACCCCGAAAGCTGAGGTAGGTGGACTGCCATGACCAAGCTGAGTGTCATGATGAAGCACTTGAAAAGGTTTCATTTCCTTCTCACGGTCCTTCCAGCATACTAATAAAAAACAGAAACCTTGTTTCATAAATGAGGTAGCCTCCTGTTTTATATCTGTCAAAAAAAAAAGTACCATGGGAAATTTCCTTGAATGTATAGAGGCCAAGGTAATTAATGTTTACTTTTAAAAATTATTAATTTTTAAAGCTAAAGCTAAAGTAGGCTACTATATCCCAAATATCAAGGTTTGAGTGACTCAAAGATGTGGCAATGAATTGTTTCATGGGTCCTAAGCAGTCATCTGATAAAAATCCCTATTTATGGTAGTTTGGTAATAATGAGTCTATGTTGTATGCAGGCTTCACATTTAGCTATGGGGATTTGGCCCTTTATTCTTGAAAATTGTAACCTATCACTTGCAGTGTATTTTTAAAACAAAGCATGAGTCTCTGTCAACAGGTAAAGTGATAAAACATGGCTGTGACTATCATACACTCAGTGAGCCTGGAAGCTGTGTGTTGCTGTTGTCTGCCTTATTATTTGCTCCCTCCTTGCAGCAACAATGAAGTTTTCAGTTCGAAAACTTGTGAATAGTTTTAATAAATTATTCACATATTTTTAAATTTTGGAGCTAATTTGCTCATACTTTCCACCCATATCTCTAGACGCTGGGAACTTACTCTTAATACCATTCACCATAAATTGTAACCCAGGCCTAAAGCAGATTCATGAGAGACTGCATCCCAGAGGCCTACTAGATTCCCAGGCATCCTCCAGGGTGTATTCTCGGGACTACAATTTAGCAAAACTTTAATGGAATATGAAAATTAAAGTAAAAAAAGTATGCTCTGAATATATGTTAAGCACTTGACACACTTTCCTCTAAAGCATTTACCTTAAATATTTAAAGTTTTATATGTTAACACAAAAGTTGACAATTACATGAAACTTATTACCCCCCCATTATAATTTTTTTCCCAGTGTACCATTAGTACTCTAAGTTGAAAGCTGAGAGCAAGCCATTCTCTAGGTTACACAAAATTGGAGGGGGTTCCATCCTCTGAAATCACCAGGACTAGTAAGTACTGCAACTAAGCAACCAGTGGAACTAAGCAAGGATATTCACTGACTCTTCAGCAGGTTTTTGAAGGATGTAGGGTAGAAAAGGGAAAAGAATGATAAAGATAATACAAAAAGAGGTATGAAAGGGTGTGAAAGTTTGCCACCAGGAAGTCTTCAGGGCCACCCACGCTGTAGGGTGCCTGCCTCTGATCTCATAGCACATTTTCTGTTCAGCCTTATTTGATTTATCATCAAGTTATCTGAACATGGGACAGCTTACAAATAACAGTGGCACATATTTAAATGTTAAGTGCAGTTAAAGGAGTATAATTACCAGAAGTAAACATATGTTTACTTTAGAACCAAGTGTACACTTAGTTTAAAAGTGTGCAAAGTTGAAGCTAATGGCATTCATTTCCCCCACCCCCCCCATACTTGGGCAGAGTCCATGGGATCATCTGCAAACATTTATAAACAGATAATGTATGATCATGAAATGCAAATGAAGTCTTATTTCTATTTATGAATAGAATTGGAAGCTCAGTGCAAGCACTGTGCAGTTTTCAGGAGAAATTACAGGTCTTGTGGTAGGGCTATAGACTAAGCATTGCAACTGTGATCAAAGAGATAAATTTTGAAAATAGTATCAGTAATCTGGGTGGCTTATTATTACTGAAATGGATGCATCCCAGCAACAGCCACTGCAGTAAACCTTAACCAGAATGTTTCTGGAAGATCCTTGGGCATCCTGTTACAGTAACATCCCATCCAGTCAGTGTGTGAAGAGGAGTGATTGCTCCCTTCTTTTATATTGCTGGCCTCAAATGCCAAAACCTTTTAAATTTGAGAATTTGCTGAGTTCTTTAAAGATTTTTTCTTTAAAAAAAAAGTGTCTTGGATCAAACAACAACAACAACAACAAAATGTGTGTCCATCAGGTCACTTTACTGCAATTAAGTAACAGTCTTTAGAAATTAGGCCTTAGTTTGAAAGATTAAAGTAACATTCCTTGGTCTAAAACAAATCTTTGTGAATACTGGTATTTTTTCTTAGGTTGTATATTTTAGACTTTTAGAGCTTTTTGTACCAAACAACGTATTACTAAATATGGATTTTATGTAATTCAGCATCTTATCTTCTATACTTTTAACTTTATATCACTACAGCACAGCACTCTCCGAAAGAGTCTATTTTAGTGGAGCCTTCTCCGTGTTATAGATACTGTTTGATTCATTCCATTGGAGTGAAAACTACATATATGTAATATTATACACAAACACAGTAGTCTGAGATCTAAGTTATGTTCTACTTGTCACGTTGCTCTTTTATTATGGAAAATAAACAAGATCAAGCCTGAGTTTCAGATAATTACTTTTTTCCCCTAGTATCAGCCAAATAATGAAAGGAAAAAACATTCTGAAGGTCTTTACAGAATAAGTTTTTCAGATCTGTAAAATCACGGGGTAGTCAGGAATTTGTGCTGAAACTATAGAAAAAAATAAGTATTTTATAGTGGCAGGTTTGATGATTGTCCCTGGCTGTTTGTATATGAAATACGGAAGTATTGGAAGTAGTAGGCTGCAGCTGTGTGTATCACGTAGTAAGCTGAATGAATCTGAATGTCTCTCAGATCAAAATTGTTTACAGCTCTATTATAAATAAATTCCATATTTAGTGTTTATACTGAACCTTCAAGGTTGCAGGTTGAGAAAGCTGATACTGAAAAAGTTAGTGGGTTTCCTAGTTGTTTACTTACAGCCTCACTTTGCTCTTCCTCCTGAGTGCCCTCCTCCCCCAACAACAACTACAAATCCATATGTTTTACCGGCATCTCCAGCCTCAGCTTGAGACAGGAATGGAAGGACTTTGCCCTTCACAAACGATCCAAGCTGAAAAGAAAAGTAAGGAGACTGCATTTCTCTCAGCACAAAGGATTTAAGAACAGGTGGGTCCTGAAGGAGTTTTATAAAAACATGGCACCTTCCCAGGTGAACGAGCCACATTTGAAGAGAATCTAATACACATACATATTGGGGGTTTAAATATGAGTTTGCGTATTATTAACTTTTAAAGACCTAAATAAGAAACAAACATACTAAAATATAATTTCAGGATGAGGGACCCATTCCTGTTTCTTTCTTTTAGTTGAGTATAGGTCATGTCATGACTTTGGTTTTAACTTTAAATCTTTAAAACTTTAATTGCTTTCTTATATTTATATATAAATAGAAAAATACGGGCAGTGTTAAAGGGGAACACACTAGGATAAATATATATGAATGCAAATTTTTGCCAGAAAGTTTTACCAACTTAAGCAATTCTTCCTATCAGAAATAGATATTTTCTTCACAAAGACTTTTTTTTCCCATTTATGCCTAAAACTGCAACTTGATAATATGCTTGTTTAAATATCAGGTCCTAGTGCAACAAATTCAGAAGTCAGAAAAAAATCTAAGCTAAAAATGCTAGAATATCTTTCAGTCATTCTATTTTACTGTTACAACTTAAACATTCAGAAATCCGGGGTGTTTCTCGCAATTTGAGTAAAACACACTGCAAATCCAAAGGGAGAAAATGTAAATGGAAGAAATGTCTGATTTATGAACTGTTTTGCCCTTATGAACAGTATCCTGTTCATCTCACATATTGATTCTGAATACCTTGTCAGCCCCTGCTCCAAGACGGTCCCTTGACACGGGAGCAAGTCAGAATAACTTACTTTCATAGCTTATTTAACAGCAGGCAAACAATTTTTACATTGGCTTGAAATCTAAGTCGATCTGATATTAGAATCCAGGCTTAAATTTTGTAAGAAGTTTCCAAATAGCAGAAGAAATTAAAACAGAGATACCAAAACTAAAAACACCAATGTGAGACAACAAATAATATTTCCAGTCCTAATCAAACCACAACCCTTTCAGTATAGCTTGAGGTATTTTTAAGTATTTGTACAAGCTAAATGGCATTCACAGTTTCCGAAGCTGCTTTTTTACTGAGATAGCCTCACATTCTCATGATAGTTGACTTTCAGACAGGTTTTCTCATACATGAAAACTGAGTCTGAGTCTCCGCCCTCAGACTCACGGAAATATCAGACAGCTAGCTGTTCAGTGGCAGCGAATGGTTCTCGTAGTAATGAGGGTTCTACTTCCCAATTATTGTGCTACTCCTAGGATGTGATTAAAAAAATAAGAAATTTGCAATTCATATATAAAAGGAAAACTTGCTTCAGTTTCTGAAAGCAAGTCCAGTCTGGTGGAGGTATATAAGACATTAAATAACAGAGTCAGATTCCTTCTTAAAGATTGCAGCCGAGCTTGACACCGAGTTCTGGTTCTCCAGCATTTTCTCCATCTTTTCTCCTCCAGTGGCTTGAGTGACCTCCTTTTGCTTCTTACTGTGGACCCATGGGATAAAACAAAGGACAGCACCTCCAATAAGGGGCGGGATTCCAGCGAGGTAGAATGCCACATCATAGGAGCCCAGCTTGTCATGGAGTAACCCTGGGAAGGGAAAAAACTGTCACCAAGACAAAGCAAGTATGACTGTTGAGGGCTCAGATTGGTCCCCCAGTGGCCTCCTGCCAACCCAGGATCTTCACCCCGCAGGCTAGGGCAGACACCTCAGATGCAGACACTTTTAAGGAAAGGGTTTGAAAGATAAACCTTTTTTGATAGGAGGAAAGAAAAGATGTCATTTCTTTAATCTTGTTGCAAATCTGTGACAGGCTTCTGAGTATTCCTACCAAGATACTACATGGACAGAACACTTGCAGTCGAGCTTTGGCCTTCTCAAAATCCTCAGAGGCCATTTGGGTATTCTGACACATGGTGTTAACGTCCTGTTTCGGCTCAAAGTGGACGGTCCACCAAGCTGAAACCTCTGTCATACACACAGGCTTCAAAATGTTTACATTTTCAGACCTTTCTTGGGCCTGTTTATGAAATAACATGAAACTACTTAAAATGATAATCCAGTATCATGAAAACTTATAAATATAAGGGGATGAAAAAGTTACATTGTTAAATACATTTTGAAAATATACTAAGGTTTGTCAGCACCTGAGGGGAAAATGTAAGAATATAGGTGTGGTATTCTAATTAGATCCTAGGGCTGTGCTTCTGAAAACTGTCAGAGTTCTCTTTATTTCTATTTCTCTAACAAAATCCAGATTTTAAAAGTTATCTTAGTGTTTCAGACTTTTACTGTACAACCTGTTACCAGAAATGTTCCAGGAACACATCACACTGAGTATCTGACTCTGCTAAATAAACAGCTGAGGATTTGTTCAGCTGTTAAATACCAACACATTGAAAAAAAAAAAAGTGTACAGTCATTCCAAATAGAAACCTAAAACATACAACATATCTAAATATATATTTTTCCTATCTGAATCAGAATATTCCATATATAACTGAACCTTGCATCTTTATGAACACAGATTATGTTTGGCTGTAATACTGTAATCCCTAGAACCTCCTGGTGTTTTTCTGCCCACTTTGGGAATTTCCTGTTTCCCCCTTCATTCTTGACCTGTTATAGTCACTTCCAGTGGCAAATAGAAACACCACTTCTACTAAAGTGCTTCCTATAACTTGCTGTGGACTTGGAAACCGTAACAAAGCATGTAAGATGTAAAAACAGGTTGTTACCTGAGGGAGAGGGGAAGGACTGGAGGATTCTCCTACAAGGAGACTGTGATTTTTAGAATTTATATTTTACTTGGTCTGCTCAGTAGTGGTTCTGCTTGCTTAATTCATGACTAGGTTCCCAAGTGGCAAATTTGCTGATATGTGTGGTTCTGAATATGAGAATGAATTGAACTGAACTTTCACTGAGCCACTCACATACAAGACAGATGCCAGTACCTACATTTAAATTTCATAATATTTATATCAAATCTTATAATTTACAGTAGTACCCAGTTTATACTGAACATGAGACAGCTTTATACTATTCATTCAGAAGATTTCTAAAGGTAAAATTCACATAACATAAAATTAACCATTTTAGTGGCATCTGGTATGTCTACAATGTTGTACAACCACCACTGTCTCTCTAGTTCCAAAATATTTTCATCACACCAAAAGAAAAGTCCGCACCCAATATGCAGTTACTCCCTAATCCCCCTTCCCTCCATCCCCTCACATCTGTTCTGTCTCTGAATTTATTATGGCTATTTCACATAAATGGAATAATATGTGACCTTTTGTATTTGGCTTCTTTCACACTTAGCATAATGTTTGAGGTTCATCTACCTGGTAGTGTGTACCAGTATGATACTTCATTCCTTTCTATGGCCGAAGAACTCCATTGTATGGATATAGCACATTTTGTTTACCCGTTCATCTACTGGCGGACATTTGGGTTTTCCTGTTAAGTGTTACTTTTCATTTAACTATTTCTCAGGAAGGACTGTGATCTCTTACACAGTTCATACATATTTAGAAATCTTTCAGAATCTTCACCTCTTGATAGAAAGAAATCACATTTCCTATTCCTCCAAAACACTTACTAACATAGGAACTCTGAAGTCCTCAAGTCCAGAAGCTAACTGCTATACATTCAGTGGGTGTTTAAGATATCAATGAGAGTAAGAGGACTCATCGGCAAATTTTTCCAGCATGCCATCTGCTGGTCCTGGTAAAAACGCTATAGATAAGACAACAGCAAGACACCAGAAACCAATAAATCATAATATATTTAACATGTGAGACTCAGGACCTACAGTAGACAATGCTAGGACAATATTATTTACCTGCAATGGGTGGGCCCACAGTCATGGGTATAGACATGAATCCGAGCAGAAATCCAATTGCTTGGGAGACATCCTGGGCACCAACCAACTCAAAGGCAATGGGGGCCATAATGGAAATGAAGCATCCATCGAAGAGACCCATGATGAGGCAGACAGCAATGAGGGCCGCAAAGACACTGCACAGGGGAATCATCATGGACATCAGACCAATGAAGAGAAAGGACAGGACCTAGGACAGACACCACAGTGTCAGCTCCGCTCTCGGAACAAGGGAACATCACAATTACCAAGCAGCATGCTTAGGACTTTTAAGTGGTTACTGGTTAGTCACCTCCCCAGCCCACTTGGCCTTGATTTTATATACATAATCAACTCCCACAATCATATTCCCTGAATTCCCCTCCCACTTTCTCAGTATTTCCATTAAGGGACAAGAAAAAAGTAAGGGTTTTCATATACTTACTTTCCTTTCCCAGCTGTAAGCTCTTTGAGATCAGAATCTGTACAAAAGTCATCTTTGGCCCTACATATAATAAGGTTTAAGGATCTTGTACCTGGTCAGTGCTCATTACGTATTTGTCCTTTGAGTATCAGCCCAAATTCACTCATCCAACGTATGATTTAAAAATTTTACCTTTGAAATTATATGCACTTGACTGGTGTCAGTCCTGTGCATAATGAAGATACGCCAGCCAGATCCATCCTTCACCTCACAGAGCTTCCAGTTTGTCAGAATAACTAGTAAAATCAAACACTGGACTCTCCCTGCCATTGGGCAGCTACTGTGCTCTATTCTATGTGAATAAAACCTGGTTCATACCCTTGGGTTATGAAGAGTTGACTATGTAACTAAGTACACGTGAAGTATCCTAGATGTTCTAGTTGTATATTCAAAGTACAGTGGGTACAAAAAAAGGAAGGAGCGGATAATTCAATTTTTTAGGCAAATAACTAATTAAAATTGTATCATTCACTCACTAGGTGGAATAGATGTTTTAAAAAGAATCAGCTTTTTTAAAAGTATGCATATAACAGAAACTATCATTTATTTAATGCTTACGAAATGCAGTCAATGTTCTAAGGACTTTAGATGGTGATTTTATGAGGTGAGCCCTAATATTTTCCCCATTTTACAGATGAAGTGAATGATGCTGGGAGGTTTAGTAAGCCCAGATGGAGCTAGCCTGGAACCCATGGTCTGTGTGGGCAGTAAATAGCAGGGGGCAATGGAACAGTTCCTAGAGGGTTCCCTCTGATGACAGTGGGGCAGGGACGGAAGGGAGCGGCCACAGGCTGCAGTGCTCTGGATCACCACCTTCACCCGCTCTCTTTTCCCAGGGCTCACTGGCGGACACCAGGCTTGGCAGGGCCTCGGGGCAGCCCCACCACCTCAGTGCAGAGCAGGATCGCCTGAGGACAGGGACCGGCTCCCCAGGTGACTCTGACCCCACAATCAGAAACATTCTTTTAAACTCCAAGTTGGGGACTTCCCTGGCGGCCTAGTGGTTAAGGCTCTGCACTCTCAATGCAGGAGGCACAGGTTTGATTCCTGATCAGAGGATTAAGATCCTACATGTTACTCAGGCCAGAAAAAAAAAATCCAGGTTGGTCTCTTTTCTGACACCATTGTATTATATAGCTGAGTAAATATGGCTTTACGGTAGAATTAGTTTAAGACTCAGAGTTGGTTATTTGAAAAAGAAGTCTGGCACGTCACATTTTTTCCTAAAGAACATGATCTCCACATTCTGATCGTTTATGCTCTATTTAAACACCTTTTCCTCCAGCCCAATTTCCATTAAAGTGGAAGCGGAATTCCTCAGTGCTCCTTAGTGCTTTGGGCTTCCTGGTGGCCCAGGTGATAAAGAATCTGCCTGCAATTCAGGAGACCTGGGTTCGATCCCTGGGTTGGGAAGATCCCCTGGAGGAGGAAATGGCAACTCACTCTAGTATTCTTGCCTGGAGAATCCCATGGATAGAGGAGCCTGGCAGGCTACATTCCATGGGCTTGCAAAGAGTCGGACACGACTGGGTGACTGACAGACAGACTGGCTAACTACTGGGTTTGCAGCCTTAAGGCTGGAAAGAACTAAGGCCCAGAAGGACAGGCCAGGTTCCAGATCTCTGTGACCCTGATAGAAAGACTTCTTGATGCTTCTCATCTACCATCTGTATTTAAGGAGACCAATCCTAGCATTATTTATTAGATACCTTTTTACTCTATCTACAAACACAAAGGAGATAAAACTCCAGCGAACCTGGAATAAAACGTTAGGCCATCACGGGGCCAGATTCAATGGGTTTAACGCCCGACCACACCACTGTACTACTACTAGGCCCGCTTAGAATGCGCCTCCTGTTCTTTTCATATTTTGTTCAGTACAAATCTCCTGCAAGATAAGACAACCAGAGTGAATGTTGACAGCTTATAGCACAAAGTCAGTTTTGCTGAATAAACAAATGTTTTCTTGGACCCAATTCATTTAACATGAGACCCAGACACGTATAGTGCTCATCCTGATTTTTCTATTCATTTTGGTCCCTTCAAGTTTTTATTCTTTGTTCAGTTTTCTAAGAAATCATTCATACAAGAGTTTCAGGTTTATTAATATATATATTTTGAGCACATTATTACTTCTTAATACTTTACCTGACTGCAAGCTCTCCTTTAATTTATATTCTCTTTTTCAACTATTTGACAATTAGTATTTAAAACTGTTAAATTTTAACAATAATTGTTAAATAAAAATTATGAGTTGTTATTTAAAGTAAAATTTCTTGGTTTCTCTTTAAGAATTGAATTGATAGAAATTTACACACTTATTCTTCAGTATCTCTCAGAAAATACCTGGCTACTTCTGCCTCATTTGCAGCTAAATAGTAGTGAGAAATGCTGCTGTCTCTCAGCAGGTTAACCACCCTAAATGTAGCTAAGTTCAGAGGCAGCAGGCCAAGCTGACAAGGACATGCTTGTTCCCCACACTCAGGAACGCTCCACCCACGAGCAGCACAGACCAAGGTTTAGCGCACTGTGCGTGTAGGAAGTTCATCACGTCCCCAAGTATCTACTGATCTGTAGATACAAGCCCCCAGGGTGAAAGGTGAGTAACTTAGTATTACAGTCTGTCTTTCCACCCCAAACACAGTAGCTCTGGTTAGATTTAAGAAAGAGATTTAAAGGTTCCTAACCCTTTTCTAGGCTCTGGCACTGCCATTTAATGAGACATTGACTGTTGAGATGTCTTTCTTCTGCTTCTTAAAACTATACAGGAAATATTTTCTGTCATAATATTACAGTCTCTAGAAGAATAATCCCCTGCTTCAGTTAGTTTATGTACCTAAGAACAACAGCCAAAAAATTCCTTGCTATTACAGTCCCCATTTCTGTCACCAAGAACATTTTTGGAGGAAATGTCAGTGGAAGTTTTCTTCAGAAATCTAAGCATAATGACGGAAGAGGAAAAAATGACCTGCACCTGAATAAAAGCAGAAGACACTTTCGAGGCAGATGCAAATTATATTAGTTTATATTCTCTTGGCCACAGTTAGAAACAAGTGTTGCTCCTATGAATTTGGCAGATGCAAATTATATTAGTTTATATTCTCTTGGCCACAGTTAGAAACAAGTGTTGCTCCTATGAATTTGGCAGATGCAAATTATATTAGTTTATATTCTCTTGGCCACAGTTAGAAACAAGTGTTGCTCCTATGAATTTATCCAGTATAAAGTTTGCAGACTTTCAGAGCCTCTGGCTAGGAACCCGCTACTTGGCAGCAGGGGTCTGAGGCCCATCACACCAAAGGGAGGTGTTCAGGGCACAGCCGAGCATCCGGCTTCTCTGAAAGCACGCAGTCCTGTGGAAGTGCTTCACCCGGAAAGTCTGTCCAGCTTTCCTGCTGCACATAAATACCACCATTTCTGCCTGGAGCAGCAACCAGCCCCAGTGCCGCGTCCCAGGTGAGAAGAGGGAATCGTAGTCTGATTCCTCGTTCAGGCAGGGGAGCTGCTAAATACCTGGATACCATTGTAGAAGCAGCTCATGTTTGGTAAAGCACATACCTTTTATCCCAAGGTATCTTTCAGAAAACATAAAACACCAAAAGGGAACAAAAAACAGCAGCAGCAACAACAAACTGGGCAACGCAGCTCAGTTTGTTCTACTGCAAGCAGAAGTGACTTCCAGAGGAAGATGGATCTAAAAGTGATTCGTTCTTCTAAGTTACAAAAAACAATTCTGCATTTCAAAAGTAACTCATGCATTCCTGACAAAATTCAAACTGTAGAAAAATGTATACAGTAATAAATGAAAGTCTTCCTTCAACCCCCTCCCACCCTCAACCCACACTCTCCTGGTCAGGAATAACCACTCAATAATTTGATGGTCCTCCCAGACCTTTCCTGTGTGTACTCATCGGGGTTTGTCTGCTTACATACATGGATATGATGTCCACACTTTGGTATGTCCATGGCACAGAGCAATCTGACACAGTGGGAAAGTGATCTTAATCCAAAGCTTTCGATTCTTTCCTTAGAGTTACAACTTCCAAACTTTTGAAACACCCTCACACTGTTGAAAGAGGTACACAGTAAAGAGAAATCTGCAATAATGTACTGGTGACTAGAAACACAGGCCTGTGAAGTTAAGAAAGATGGCTGGGGATGTGCCAGGACACAGTCTTCCCTCTCCTAATGAAGTACTCCCGGAACTTCTGCAGAGATTCTCTTTACCCATCATCATTCTATATAATACATTTCAATCACCTCTTCGGTCAGTATTCAGAATTGTTAGGCTGAAAATACTCGGTTACCCAAGACCTTGCTGGAAGTTTAAATTCAGAACTCTTTAGTAAAAGTGTAAGATATATTCCTAAACTCTGTTACCTATAAGCAAAGATCCCCACATCAGAAAAACCAAGGTCTCCTTTTTCTTGAGACCTGTTCCAAATCAGGATCTGCCTCAGTATTTCACAGAATATTAAAACCTCACAAAAGCAAGGACTCATTAATGATCCCCCTGGGCCAGCAGTTTACATAAGCTGTCACCATGAATCCTCACACGGCCCTCTGTAGCCTCCCCAAACCCAAGATGACTGTGCCCCCAAAGCAGACCACATGGAATGCTGCGAACTGTGTTCCGGGCCCGGAAGCTACTCAGAACTGGTGTCACAGGGGCAGGGAGGGAGGAGAACGGCGGTGCCCCCACAAGGCTGAGCTGTGACAGAAGCAAGGAGCAGACGTGCCGGAGAAAACCCAGCACCCACGAAAGGAAGGAGAGAAAGGTAAGCTGCGGCAGCATCGCAGCCCCTAATGGCTGGGCCAGAGGGCAAACAGCCAGGCGGGAGACAGGGAGAGGAGGAGGAATAAGCCGACAGGCAGAGCTGGGCTTGATCACAGCAGAGAAGAGCCAAGAATCAAAAACCACACGAGATTCGGGAGTTGGGGCAGGGGAGAGACGGAGCAGGGAGGGATGTCGGGGGCTCCCAGCAGCCGGGACACTGAAGGCCAGCCTTCTGCTGCACGGGCCTCCCTGGACTGCAGTCACCTCGCCTGTGACTCGGCACGTACTACAGGTGTGATACACACTGTACCACGTTTGGATGAAAGAAAAAACGATGCGACTTAAAAGAAGCCAGGCTGCGGCTAACCTTTCATCCAAAACAAAATTACTCATGCTTCACTCACTTCCGTGTAACTGTAGGCCACACGTGGGCCAAGTCAGAAAAGGCTGTTTTCTTTCCTCAGTTACATGAACTACTAACGCATCTGCCCCCTGTTACGTTGTAAAGGACCCGACTGCCCCACTGGTGGGGGGGATCCTTTCTAAGTCAAAGTTGTTTTGGGGTAAAGCGCTGATGTATAAAACACGCCATGCCTTCATCCATCGCGTCACTGCAGTCTGGCCTCCATCCTCTCTAACCTGGACGCTGTGTTATCTCCTCCCTGGTCTCCCTCTTGCGCTCCCGCCTCCCTCGCAGTCTTCAATCCTGCACACACCACAGCAGCCACGCCGACTTCAAAATGCAAGATCACGTCATTCTCCAACAAGGACCTACTAAGCTTAAAGTAAAATGTCTCCACGGTGTATGCCAAGGCCCTGGTTAGTCTGGCCCCTCATGTCCCCATGTCCTGCTCTTTCCAGCCTCTTCCCAGGCCACTCTCCCTGTCTTCTAGACTTCCCAATCATGCCCAGCTTTTCCCTGCCTCAGGTCTCACTCCAGAAACTCAGGGACCATGTCTGTATCATGTTTGTATCACCCACCAGGGTCGGGGCTGGTGCTTGGGGCACAGTAGACAATCTTCTTTTAATAAACGAAAGGAAGCCGAAAGTCTGTAAGGCAACAAATGTCCACTAGAGGGCTCCCTTGACGCTTGAGAACAAGACTGTTCTGTTAAACGTTGGACAAGGCTACCGGCAGTTAAGGTGTTAATAAAAGGGGAAATGATCATAACACAGGAATACTTCTAAAGGTAGTACTCTCCCAGCCTTCCAGCTAGGTGACCAGACTCCTTACTGCGCTGACCGCCTAGATCTATAGAGACACCCACAGTGAGGCAGCCCCTCTGCCCCTCCGTGTTCGCATCTGTAAGTGCAGCAGCACACACCTGGAAGGAAAGGTGCACTCGGTTCACTGACCATCACTGCTGTGTAGTTTTAGAATATTTACATCACCCCAAAAGAAGCCCCACAGCCAGTAGCAGTCACTCCCCAGACCCTCCTTCGCTCAGCCACCAGCAACCACTGATCTACACTTTCTGTCCCTGGACCCGCCACAATTCTGGACACTGCGTATAAAGGGAACCACACAACATGTAGCCTTTTGTGACTGTATGAACCCTGGCCCCCCCTCCTCTGTATTCACCCTTCACAGCTGTTAGGTTAAGCTTTATAAAATAGGACTCTTGTCACTCCCTTGTATAAAAAAAACCCTTACTGGCTCCTGGTAGATTTCAGGATCGAGCTCAGCCTCTTCTGTGCTCACAAACGTCCTTCCCAACCTGACTCCTGCCTATTCCCCAGCCAAGCAGCCTACTATTCTCTCTTAAAGTTCAGCCGCTCAGTCGTGTCCGACTCTCTGCGACGCCATGAACTGCAGCACACCAGGCCTCCCTGTCCATCACCAGCTCCCAGAGTCCATCCAAACACTGCTTCCCAGACACAGCACACAATTTCACGTCTCCGTCTCTTTGCCCATGCGGCTTCCTCTGCTTGCAACACTCTTCTCCGTTTTCCTTATCTAACTGTTACCTCTCAACAGTCCGCCAGCCAAGGGAGCCTGCTCAGACCTCTAGTGATTGAGCTGCTTCATGCCTGTGTTTCTGTGGCTCCACCTGGCCCGTTAGTCCACTGGTCAGTGCTGCATCATGTCTTTATCTGTCTCGCCCAGAGACCATTCGTCCCAGAGCACACGGTGGTGTTTCATCTGTAGCATTTAGCACGGTAGCCAGCATGGAGGAGTCACTTCAATACTTGTGAAATGAACATCAGTATGGTCTCGGGACAGCAGAGCCCACAACACCCAGAAGGCAATCTGCAGCAAAGAAACTCAAAAGACACGCACATCCCTGAATTTCACAGGGTACTGCAAAAGGCACATGACCATGAGAACTACGTCAAAAATAAAGCATTCTTAGAAAAAAGCAAAAGATAGAAAACCATTCTGGTTTGGTGCAGTTCCATGACAGAACAAAGAATACTCTTTGTTCGCCAATTTTTCATGTTGAAAACCCCAAACTCTGGACTACCCTGGCAGTCCAGTGGTCAAGACTCTGAGCTCCCTCTGCAAACCAGAGCACTGGTTCAATCCCTGGTCAGGGAACTAAGATCCCACATGCCATGCAGCACAGCCAAAGAGAAAACCCAGACCTCATAACGGATTTTGCCCTTTAAAAGCTGTGTGTAAAAGGGTCTAGAAAATAGTTCTTAAATTTGGAAGAATTTAAGTAAATAAGTACATATATGAGCCATTAGGTGACAAGGATAAATTTGCTAGAGGAATAAAGGCTTATTAAGGAATAAAGGCTTATTAAGGGCTTTCCTGGTGGCTCAGTGGTAAAGAATCCACTCGCCAATGCAGAGGGGACAGGAAGATCCCACATGCCGCAGAGCAACTTCTACTGAGCCCACGCTTGAGAGCCTGGAAGCCACCACCACTGAGCCCACATTCTTCAACCACTGAGGCCCCACAGCCTAGAGCCTGTGCTCCGCGACGAGACATCGCCGCAAAGAGAAGCCTGCACACCTCAACGAAGAGCGGATCCCACACAACCAAGAAGACCCAGCACAGCAAAAATAGAAGAAAAAAAAAGAAAGCAACACCACAAGCCCATCTCCACTCACAGAGGCTGACCTGAAAGCATTTCCCTATACTTCTTAGTTCCCGTGGAAATACATGCCATAATGGTTGACACTCTGGGATGGGTACATGGGAGGTTCATCAATGAGGTTTAAAACTTTACATAGTAAAAGACGTTTAAAAAAAAAAAAGAAAGTACCTGGAGATAAATTTTCTTCACACCAGGCATGTAATCCACGATCCGGCCGAAGAGCAGCCGTCCGACTCCTGAAGTGATGCCGATGCACATGAGAACCACCTCTTTATTTTTCTCATCTTTAAACCTTTCATTCACATGTTTCATCTGTAGACCAAAGAGAAAGAAGCCACACTAAATGTGGTAGGAAAACTTGACAAGTTTTGAGGCTTTGTACAAATGCCTTTTTTTGTATATGTAACAGATTCTCCTTCCATAGTCAAATTTTTATAAAAATGTATTCTATGATAATTTTTCATGAGAACACATGAAGAAAAGCCAACATGGTTTAGCTTGTATAAATAACAATTTTTATAAGAGGGTTTTTAAAATATTTTTAATAAAAGGTAACCAGCACACCCTTTATCAGTTATCATTGGGCCACGAGCTAAAGCGAGAGAAGAGACCTTTGAACACACCACGCCACAAGGTCACCCAAGGGCCCAGCCCATCATCTGCTCCCCTGAAAGGCAGTCTGAAGGCTCAATTCTGGAGTCTCATCTCTTCTAGGAGGACCTAAACCAAACTGAAATAAGTTACACTAGAGCTTCCGGGATAAAAGCATAAGGCTCTCTACCTGACGATCTGCCTATCTGTGTAGCATTAGAACAGATAAAAATACAGAAGCAGTTTAACACAGTGGTTAAAGGAAAGGTAGTGGTTAAAGGAAAGGTAGTGGTTAAAGGAAAGGCGCAAGAGATTGTGTCTGCATTTAAGTCCTGCTTCCATCCCTTGTTAGCGCTATGACCTTAGTTAAATCCTTAACCTCTAGGGCCTCAGTTTCCTTGTCTGTAAAATGGAGACAGCACTAGTACTTCAAGAAGGTGCTTGTAAGGATTAAATATCTATGTAAAGAACTTAGGGCCTGACAAGAAGTTAAGAGTGATATTAATTTTAGCCTTCTTGCTAAAGGACCTTTTCCCTCCATGTATAGTCTACTTAGAACAGTGACTGCAGATCTACAACCCGACTGTTTCAAAAGGAGTGTGACCAGCAGGTGCTATACCGGGTGACAGAACCCGTGGCTCAGCACTCACGGTCTAATATAAGCTTTGCCTCCACAGCCCTGAAGTCCCGTGCTTTCCACTCCTTGCTCAGCACTACCACTTTCTCAGTGCTCACCCGTCTGTGCTCGCAGCAAGAAGAAAAGGTGTGTCTGTGCTTCCACTGCTTTCTCTGCAATCACAGAGCTATTATACCAAGCAGTTGTTTCAAACAATCAGACTCACTGTCCCCTACACCAAACACTGGCCTGAATTCTGAAAGCCTGCAAAGCCAGTTTCCTGGAAAGCACGCTGGCCCAGTGCTTGTGGCACTTGCAGCCTTTCTGGACGACATCGCCTTAGAAGACCTCCATTTTGCAGTTTTAGGCCTACTTGGGTAACCAACACCATCACATCTCTCCTTTCCCTTTCAAAACTGGTTAACTGTTCTCCCTCACTTTTGTATTTTCACAGTGATCCAGGATCTCTCTCCAAGGAGATGGTAGTGGCTAAGATGCTGTGGGGGCCCAGGTTCGATCCCTGGTCAGGGAATTAGATCCCACATGCTACACAGGAATCTATCCCACATGAAGATACTGCATGCCACAATTAAGACCTGGCACAGCCAAATAAATAAATATCCAACAACCAGAACAGAATAACTCTCCTAAACATGGCTTTAATCTCATCAGTCCCTTATACATCAGCTGACTACATTTATACCCCTTACTTTAGTATTAAAAGCCCTCTATAATCTGTCACTGATCTACCTCTGTAACTTTATTACCTACCAATCTTTGACTCAGAAAACTCAAATGTCTACAGGATTCAGGTAAACAGCGGGAAGGAGTAAAAGAGACTTGCAGGAGAGCGGCCGTGTACACTCAGTCCCATCATTACCGTACAGGACCACCTGTGCTGCCAAATCAACCTCGTGGCTGCCTTTTATTTTAAAGAAAAGTCAGAAATCTGGCCTTTTGTGTGGAAATGTTGGCATCTATCTTAAATTTAGAACACTGCATGATCCAACCCCACGTGTGCCAAACACACAGCTTTGATCTCAGCCCTAATCCCATCTGGCCCAGCAGGAAGGTTTAATCACGGTGTCACTTAGACATGTCCAACACCTTCTCATCTGTCTACATTTCTGCTGCCCCTTCTCCTGGTTCTCTGAGACTCTGCCCAAGTCCCACCTTTTCCATAAAGCTGTCCTTGATATCCTGACCCTCACATCCCCTTCGGCTTTCTGCCTAGCCTTCATGGGTACCTTAAGTACTGAGTGCCCTCCCCAGCCCTTCTGGCGTCATAGGCGGCGCCAGTGGTTAAAGAACCTGTCTGCTAATGCTAAGAGACGTGGGTTCGACCCCTGGGTTGGGAAGATCCCCTGGAGGAGGGCACGGCAACCCACCCCAGTATTCTTGCCTGGAGAATCCCATGGACAGAGGAGCCTGGCGGGCTCACAACCTTCCTCCTTCCATTTCAGTCACCACCACTGCTGTGGACTCAACCACCCAGGTAAAAACGGGACAACCATCCTAGACTACCCCCCGCCCTTCAAATCCAGCAGCCACCATCCAATTCCAATGATCTTTCCTCCCAAACCTCAGACACCCTCCCGTGGTCCACGCTCCCCACACTGTTTTTACTTTGGGCGATCACTCCTCCCCTGGATCCCTACACCCGCTTGAACGTGCTACGGGTTAGAGCCCTCACTCCTAAATCTCTAACCTGCATTCCCTGAGACCACCAGATGAAGTTCAAAATTGTAAATAACACTGCTCCACCACTGTGGCCTTGCAGGCTTCAGGGTAAAGCTCAGACTCCTGGTTTGTCAGGTGAAGCTGACAGATGCTGCCGCCTCTCGCACACCACGTTGGTGCCGTGTGGTCCAGTACAGCGGGTGCTGGCCACGGTGGGCTGGGCTGTCCAGCACTTGAAATGTAGCTAATTTGAGATGTGCTTTAAGTGTAAAACACGCAGAAAATTTAGAAACCTTCGTGGAATAAAAAACCATGTAAAATATCTCAATAATTTCAAAATACCGATTCTTTGCTGGAATAATACTTTGGCTATGTTGGCTAAATAAAATATATTATGAAAACATTTCATTTCTGAAGTCTTTTTTCTGTTTTTTTTTAACTTTTAAAAATATGACAAGAAAATTTTAAATGACATGTGTCTTGCATTGTATTTCTATTAAAGTGCTGGGTCTAAAAAATTCCCTTGTGAACACAAAGATAAAACAGCTGTTGATAAAAGTGACTTCAAACTGGCTCATTTCCTCCAGGTCCTTATCAGAGATGGATTCCAGCTCAATTCTGAAGAAAATGAATAACTTGATCTGAGGCAGGTGAGATATAATTATGTGAATTCATCAGCTTTATTTGGAATTTGAATTCAGACTCTCATGTATTAATCCACTTTAGAAATCACTCAAAGGATCTAGTATAACTTTTTAAGAGACATTCTTTAGAATTCAAACCAGATTGAATATGCTAGTCATTGTTTTGATGAAACTAAGAACACATGCCTGCCAAACTATTATCCTTTATTAGTGGTTTATTTTTCTTCCCCCCACTCTACACTTTGTAATCCTTAAAAGGAATAATGAGGATAAATGTTTGGGGGGGTCTCTTGAAATAATGGTAGATTTGGTAAATTCAAAGTATGCTTAGGTGGAAACTTACTTCTTCAGCTATAACGGGCCTTATTTCATTGAATTTTGTTGTTGTTGAAATAAAGCAAGAACTTCAGCTTCTGATACCTCCTTTCCTACCCTCAGCCAAAATTTGCAAAGTTAAGTTGTGGTTTATTTTGCTTCTGTCTTTTGGTTTTGTTTGGGCAGGAAATAGGGAACTGGAAAACAGCATCTGGGGAGGCGGCATCTTTTGGTCCAAGAGATCCTTCCTCATTGAGGAAAGAGCCTGTGGGAGAGCTAGTGTATTCTACCCGCAGCCTGGGCCCCCCACTACTGCTGCAGCTATTCCCGAAATCCCCACCCAGTCTTCATTCTCTGGAGACTGGCACATAGTTTAGTTTAGCAAAAGACACGAGTACTGGCAAAACTGGTATTTCCAATAAAAGTCACATGGGTAGGGACATGAAAATGTTGACCAGATGCTCCCATATTTAACCTCACTTATTTAAACCAATATAAAGCTCTTATTAAAACCATTACCTACACGGGGATAGGTTTTGCCAGTGGCTTAGTCGGTAAAGAGTCTGCCTGCAATGCAAGAGACCTGGGTTTGATCCCTGAGTCGGGAAGATCCCCTGGAGGAGGGCATGGCAACCCACTCCAGTACTCTTGCCTGGAGAACCTCATGGACAGAGGAGCCTGGTGGGCTATAGTCCATGGGGTCACAAAGAGTCGGACACGACTGAGTGACTAACATTTCACTTCAATAGGGGATAACATCATTTTTAGAACAGTGGTTTTAAAACAGACTTTATCCACATGTGGAAATGCCTTTACGGCAGGAACTAGTCTTTTGTTTCTATTCTAAACATGTGTTTACTCCAGGGCTGCACACCTCTCAGGGATGACCAGCGCCTGGGTGCTGCCTGCTCTGGAAACATTTTCCATCATTCCAACAACAACTTAACTTCATCAGTCACAGAAGCCATTTTTGAACGGGGTGAAACCCTCTTTTGGTTGTGTTATCCAAAGATAACCAAGAACTTAAATCCCATCATAGCTTCTCACTCCTTATCCATGGGCGACAGAAGGAAGCAAGACGCGTGCTCACAGTTTACGCCCTTCCCTCCAGACCATCCCCACTTCAAGTCAATGGCGAGTCAGCCTCTCTCCATGGATGACAGGATTCTGACCAGCCACGTGAAGGCAGAAGTTCCTTCCCACTCGCCAGAGCCAGGGCCCAAGAAAGGGAGCCTCTCACTGCGCGGGCCTGAGCCCGGCCTCTGCCCCTCACCTCTTGCCTACAGGGAGCCACAGGCGCAGACGCTGAGCCGCCCGGCAGTGTTCTTCCGCTGGGAAGCCGGCTGAGTCTCAGGCTCAGAGCCAACTGTGAAGGAAGCCCAGCAGCGCCGTCGTATGAAACCAGCTCCAACACAGCTGACGCAGTGCACTAGCAACCCACGCTTCCCCCCGACGAGTGGTTTCGC